TATGTTTCCAAGTGGCGTTCATTTGAGAATAAGTAGTGCGCCTTCCTTTGTTTCGTAAGCACCTATACTCGGATCCGCAGAACAGTGGTATCGGAGCCGATGGTGTGGGGACGGGAGGGGAGCTTGGAAGAAAATGAGCGTGGACTGAGGTTCCTCTTTTGTTCAGAAGAATGCTAAAGATACTGATTAATTAATGGCTTTGCTAGAAAAGTATATGTATAATTGCATAAGTTAAAACTTATGTAAAATATAGAGTAGAGGAGTGAAAATCCTAGATAAGACAGTAAAGCAGAAAAATAGTACAAAGGAAAACATTAAATTAAACATGAACTATTGGGACAAAATAAGTTCCAGTTTATTCATAATCAAAATAAGCATGAACAGGCAAAACTTAAACATTAAAAACAGACTCTCAGATTGGACTAATTACAACATCGAGTCCTGTGATGTTTAAAAGAACATGCAAAAAACATACTCAGAATAGACAAACTTGTGGTGAGATTAATAAAGAAAATAAAGAGAAAAATCAAGAACATAAAGAATTAGGGATGAAAAATGTGAAAGAATCAGAGAGAATAAAGTTAAAAGAACCATATGATAATCTGTAGGAATTTCTGACAGGAAATTTGAGAATCAAGATGAAATAATTTGTTTTCTTGGTGAATATAAGTGACATAAATCGATTGAACAAAAGTTAGAAAATATGAGTTGACCAGTAACCATGGAAAAGTTAAAATTTTTCATAGATGTACTTTTATGAAAGGCATGAGCTCAGTGGTTTTATAGGTAAATTGTACATAAACTTTTAGGAATCGATAGTTCCATATTATCTAAACTATTTCAAAGTAAGAAACATCCTTTTTTTTTTTTTTGGTGAGGAAGATTAGTCCTAAGCTAACATATGTGCTGATCTTCCTCTACTTTGTCTGTGGGATGCCCCCACAGCATGGCTGATGAGTGGAGCAGATCTGCACAGGGATCTAAACCTGCAAACCCAGGCCACCGAATAGGAGCGAGGGAACTTTAACTACTCAGCCCTGGGGCTGGCCACTGAAACATCCCCCTCTTTTAGTGAATAATTCCAAAACTTGATAATATAGCAGAAAAATGCTTATTTCAGTTAAGAATATACATATAAATTTTCTAAACAAAATATTAGCAAATTGAATTGAGCTGTATATTAAATATGACCAAGTAAGCTTTGTTCCATAAATGCAAGATTATTTCATTAATAGGACCTTCATTGCAGTAATGCATAAGATGAGCATGTTAAAAGAGAAGACACACATATGGTTACATCAATAGTTACTGAAAGACCTTGAAACAATCAAGCAGCCATTTATGAGAAAATGCTAGATGAACAAGTAATGGCAAGAAATTTCCTTAACATGGTAGAATATAACCCGAAACCCCACAGCAGGCGTAGTGGGAACTGGGGAAAGACTGAAATACGGAACAAAGCAGCGAGGCCAGAATGGTCACTATGAGTCCATGTTATTCTGGGGTCTCTAGTTAAGATTACATGGGAAAACAAAAAGAGATAAGATATTAGAAATTGAGACGTTTTGTGTGGAAAATGGAAAAGACGATACGAAATCTGTTAGATGCAGGAACATGATTGCGTAGAACGAATACAAGGTCAGTAAATAAAAAGCATTAACTGTGTCGTATGTGATAAAGTCGTGGCAAAATAGGTCCATTCTCAGAAACCACAAACCTAGAGAAGACCTGGGGGTGAAACAGGAAGGTGTCAGATCTGTAGGAAAAACTATAAATACTGGGAAAGGCTGTGACACATCACCACGTACTCGGTGTGGAGAGAGATGTGAATGCAAACAGCATTAAACTGCGTTCACATGAGTAAAACGTGTCACTTGCCTTCAGGGGGGTGTATGTGTCTCTGTACCTGTGTGTGTGTCTGGGTGTGCGTGTGTGTGTCCGTGCACGTGTGTCCATGTGTGTCTGTGTCTCTGTGTGTCTGTGTGTGTCCGTGTGAGTGTGTCTCTGTGTGTGTCCCTGTGTGTCTGGGTGTGAGTGTGTCCGTGTGCGTGTGCGTGTGTCCATGTGTGTGTCTGTGTGTCTGTGTGTGTGTCTGTGTGTGTCTGTGTGTGATGTAACTTTAGTCAGAATCCTGCTCAGAGGGCAGTGAAGGTGAGGAGAGGGAGTTGATTAAGGGATAATAAGGTGAACTTAGAAAAATAAATTCAGAAGATTGTCCAGTGAAATGTTTTAAAGAAAATCTGAATGGTGGGAGTTCTGCTCTCCTAGAGAGCTAAGGCCACGGGAGGTGAAGGGGTCTGTAGGACAGGCTTTTTCGTATGAGTGGCATTTTCAAGTTGGTGGAGAAAACATGGGTTATTTGGTAAGTTTTCTGGAACAATTGGTTAGCTGTTGAAGAGAAAATAAAATTAACTTCTTCACAACTCAAAAAAGTTTCAAACATTAAAGATCTAATCATTAAAAATAGTTATAGAAGTACTAAAAGACAATTTAATAGAATATATTTTTTAAATACTGGAATTGGGAAGATCTTTGTGATTACAGGAGCTATTAAGGAAAGAACTGACAGCTTTGGAAACAAATAATCTGAAACCCATCTAAATTGTTGAAAGACACCATTGACGAAGTTAACACATGTATGTCAGAGACAGAAAACATTTGCAACCTACAGAGCAGGCAAATGGTCTGGAATGTATAGAGAGATACTAGATAGTGATTAAAAAGTTTATCCCCCAAAAGAAGTAGGGTAATCTGTGAACTCAGAAATACATTTAGGCTGTAATTAACAAGACAGGAAACAAGTGTTGGAGAGGATGTGGAGAGAAGGGAACCCTCGTACACGGCTGGTGGGAGTGCAAACTGGTGCAGTCACTATGGAAAACAGTGTGGAGATTTCTCAGAAAATTAAGAATAGATCTACCATATGATCCAGCTGTTCCACTGCTGGGTATTTATCCAAAGAACTTGAAAACACAAAGGCATAAAGATACTTGCACCCCTGTGTTCATTGCAGCATTATACACAATAGACAAAACTTGGAAGCAACCTAGGTGCCCATCAAGTGACAAATGGATAAAGAAGATGTGGTATTTATACACAATAGAATACTACTCAGCCATAAGAAATGATGAAATCCAGCCATTTGTGACAACATGGATGGACCTTGAGGGTATTATGCTAAGTGAAATAAGTCAGAGGGAGAAAGTCAAATACCGTATGATCTCACTTATAAGTAGGCGATAGAAACAACGACAAACAAACATATCACAATGGAGATTGGATTGGTGGTTACCAGAGGGGAAGGGGGGAGGGCAAAATGGTGATTAGGCTCACATGTGAGGGGATGGACTATAATTAGTTTTTGAGTGGTGAACATGATGTAATCTGCACAGAATTCCAAGTATATTATGATGAAAGCTATATAATGTTATAACCCAATGTTACTGCAATTTAAAAAAAATAAATTAAAAAATACATTTGATCAATAATTATGTTCAAAGATCCTCAAACTCTGTGAAAACAGAAACTTTTTCACCAGAGGCATAAACAAAAAACTGATAAGTGGCGTGTAAATTGGTACAAATGTTTTGGCAGCGTTTTGGACTAATAATGTGCATATCCTTCGACCCAGTCATTCTACTTCTAGAATCTATTCTGCACAAACACGCTGGGAAGTGTGCAGAGATGTGTGTAGAATTGTTAGCAACTGGGAAGAATTGGGAGCCACCCCAGGGCCCAAGAGGAAGGGGTTTGTAGGGTCAGCTATGAGTCTGCAGGGCGAGAGACAGTACTGGGGGGGTTCTGTCTGTGCTGATGTGGAGAAGTCTCCGTGTGGTGAGTGAACGATGAGAGCACAGAGCAGGGTGTCGGCTCAGGAAAGGCAGAGGGTTTGGGCAGTAAATGCCATGACAGAAACACAGTTTAGGCCGACAGTCCGCACAGATGTACGTTAACTGGTTACTGGAAACCAAGGGCGGGTTTTCAGTTTGCGTGCTTTCTTATAATATTTGCCGAGTGTGCTTGCAGAAATACAAAACAGCTGACTTCCGTACCTTATTAGGATGTCCGTTTAAAAGGAAGTACGTGGCGTTTAGTAACATGATGAGATGGACGCTTGGTCAGAGACTTTGGTGAGAAACAAAGTTTTCAGGAGATGGTCTGCAACACCCAGCGCTTCTGGCCGTCGGGACATTAATGCAGCCCGACCCCAGTTCCTGAGGGCCCCGTACAGTGTAGGTAGGTGAGCCTTTCGTGGTCACACCAGCTCAGGTGGAAAAAAAGCACGCGTATTTTTCCAGCATGATGTTGTAAGCAAACCTCCTCGAAAACCTCTTGTTCCTGTGTCATCTGATTCATTTTGGGGAGCAATAGCCGTTTCATATATTAGTAAGCAATGAAAAAAGGAACAGAGAATTTTATAATTTATCGAAATACACGTACTAGCGCCGCTTTTCTTAAAAAACTGCCACTCAGTTTTATCTAGGTAGAGCACTTCTTTTTCCACTGGAAGGAAAACGATCAATTATTAATACTCCCTGGTACTGTGCTTTGGTTTCCTGAAATCTGCCTGGTTCTTTGCAGAACTAGTCTAAGTTTGCAAATCCTGTTTCTATCCTCAGGTTATACGGGGAATCGTAAGCGCTGATGTAAAGTATGGTTTCATTATTTCTCTTTGGTTGAATATTTTGAAGTTGTGAAACTTATTATCATAATTTCAAACCCTGCTTGAAAGTGGAAATATTTTTCGTAACGTATACATGCTGTATGTACTTATGCAGTCTGCTATTTCACGGCCTTAGTTAAAAATACCTGGTGCTATTTTTTATGTAGTTTCTCTGCCTACTTAGTTCTTGCCATATTGCTGTTCTCAATTGATTTAATTATTGCCTAGTGTCATGCTTTTTTTATGTGCATTCCATATGTTTTTTTTCCCCTATGGGCGGAGGTTGTTTACCCTTTTTTACCATATTTTCCCCATTTCTGTCCATCCCCCATCTTAGGCTTTCCCACCATCTGAGGCACGGCCATAAGCACGGCCCGGTTTCCCAGCAGCTGCCGGTGAATGCCCTCAGCCAGCACCCAGCGCAGCCAGAATGGGGACGGCTCAGGTACTGTTCGATCTTCCTCTTCCTTCCTTCCTTCGCTCGCTCGTGGGTCACTGCTCCGGGGCCAGGAGCCGGGGAGCCGATAGTGGTAAAGCGAGATGGGTAAGTATTCGGAGGGTGTGAGCTCAGAAGGGTGTGGGGCCTCCCTTGGCTTCAGGTGGATGTTTTTCCTATTCAGATGGGGAGTGGGGTCTGCAAACTCTGGCAAATGCAGTGTTTGTTGCTACGTTGAAGTTGAGAAAGTGGTGTGGGGACTTCCAGGACTTCAGGAAGGTGAGAGTGACATGAGGTCTACGCTGGGGATTGCTGACTTCACGTTGCACGTGTGGTTAAATGTGTGCCCAGAGAAGGAAGTCTGCGCACTGTGCATGCAGGCGGTGACCATGAATTAAACCCAAACACCCCCAGGATGGAGCTTTTCTGACAGTGGTCTGATTGTTCTATTGTGGTTTTTAAAGGGCTTTCATGTGGAATCGGGGGTGGTGGTTCTGGTTTTGTGTGTGTGATGGGTGGGGGGCGGGGGTGCCCAGGAACGAGTCCATGGAGCTGATGGTTCGTGAAGCAGGGACACACAGGCCCAAACCACAGCCTTCTGACCCACACCTTCTAAAGCAGCACGTGCTGGGTGTGATCTCAGGAAACCCCCAGAGGGCCACACCCACCACACCCGTGGTGGAGAATATCTGAGAGCAGGATTGCCACCTTCGACCCTCCCCAGTGCCCGAGAGTAAAGACAAAAGTCAGTTGAAGCCTCCTTCATAAACAGAGGGTTTTCTCTTGATTTTTCAAAGGGAAGAGAGGGGACTGGACACGGCCTCTTGTTTCTCTCTCCGAGAGAGCAGTGTTAAAGTTTCAGGTGGACCCTTGTCACCGCCCTGCCTGTTGGTCCCCTTCCTCCCACGTGTTTCATTCCCCGTCCGTCCATCTCTCTCGCTGGTGGTCCCACCGTTCGGTCTCGGATCCCAGTCCCTTCTCTAACGGCCTCCATGTCTCCGAGACGACGCTGCCTCTGGGTGTGAGCCTGCACAGCAAGGAGCACGGTCGCTCTCTGGCGGGACTTAGGGTTTTGTGGAAGAGCCTTCTGAGGCGATGTAAGGAAGGCCTGTCTTTCTTTTGTTTTGTTTTAATCTGCTTCCCCTCTGATTCAGCAGAGAGAATCCCTTATGGGTCTCAGGGTTCTCACGGACTCTGTGGTCCAGCTCCCCGCAGCCAGCAGGGGGCCATTGCAAGTTTGTTCCATGAGTTAGGTGGCATTCTTAACTGCAGAGGACAAAATTGACTCTGGGTTATTTAAGCAGAAAAAGAATTTACTAAGAAGGGTATTAGGGAGGCCAGCCCGGTGGCGTAGTGCTTAAGTTTGGGTGCTCTGCTTCAGTGGCCTGGGGTTCACGGGTTCGAATCCTGGGTGTGGACCTACACACTGCTCATCAAGCCATGCTGTGGTGGCATCCCACATACCAAGTAGAGGAAGATGGGCACAGATGTTAGCTCAGGGGTAATCTTCCTCACACACACCCGTACTCACACAGAGGGTATTAAGCACATCACAGACCTTTTGATGGGGCTGGATAAAGAGGTCCCACACTAGACTGTCAGCCCCACCACCAGGGACACAGTGTGATGGGCGACAGCCCCCCGCTGTCTGTGCATTGAGCTCCTTCTCGGGAGGCTCATGCCCCAAGCAGGGAAGTGTTGGGTGAGCAGAACGTAGCTGCCACATCTGGCTGCCAGAAAGGTTGAAAAACATCTTTTGTGGTTGTTGTTGTCGATGTTTGTTTTTGTTTCATACCTTCGGGAGGGGTCATTCACAACATGAGAATTATCAAAAGTGTAGGGAAGCTTTTCGAAAATGTTGGGCAACCCCAAACGGAAGCCTTCTGCTCGAGTCTACTACTTGGCTTCCCCACCCATCGACACCCTTCTTTCATCCTCGTATTGTCAAATTAAAATAGCAGCTATCTTATAAGAGGCAACTGTCCTGTATAAATGAAGACAGCTTTACCTTTATCCCAAAAGCAGATGTCCAGATCCCATTCATCAACAATCTAATTCCTAGTCAAGGATCTTGGAACAAGCTCATTCTAGTGCAGCGCAGCCCCATCCTGATTTCTGTAACCTGTATACTAGATGGTGGATATAAATGCCACCAACAGCCTATGGGAAAGTAGGTTACAGGTTGGTTTAGTTTTCACATATAGATATATACATGACACAGCAAAGAAAATTGTGGGTAGTGAATAAAGTTCCAGCTTCTACAGAGGGTTGCATGTTTGGTATTCATGACTTCCTTTCTCCCCTATCTATTCCACGTTCCCTTGGCCCCTGGCCCGCAGCTCTAATCTGGGATCTTAAGATGAATGATGATGCTTCATTCCTCAGGTGTCTGAGGTCTAGGTGGTTCTGCCCGGGTGGGGTCGCTGCGATCTTCCGTGAGATTTTTCCAATAGATGTGGGAGGACCAGGAGGCAACTCAGAGGATCCCTGGTTCTAGTCACTCTGCCCTCACTCATCGCAGAAGCTCCCCTCGCCCTGATGACGTAGGTCCGTCACACTCACCTCCTTGTTTCCTGGTGGTCCAGTGGCGTGAGCGACTCCACTTCCAACTCTGCTTCCAGTTGCCATTCACTGGAGCGTCCGAACTTCTCCACTGATAACTCGTTCCCCACTGGACTCTTCCTCCTCTGGATACTAAGGTAGTTAAAGCAGCAGAACTTGAGAGTTGTGGGGACAGGAAGCAGAAATTTTGAGCAGTGCCACCCCGGCCTCCTCAATGGCTCCTGCAGCCGTGTGTCCTGACCACAGGAGGGAAAATACCATGTGTTGGCTCCTGGTCCAGCATAGACACCACATCCTGGAGGAACAGGCTTTTAGGGACAATCCCCAGGACTCTACAGCAAACATGGCCTGAGAGGGAGCTGCCACAGCTCTTACTGCCCCCGAGTGACCCCTCAGAATTGCCTGCATCGCATCTCTGTGCTGCTGCTACCTCTGCCCTAGGCATGGATGCCTACACCGGCGGAGCAGTTCACATGCCTTCAGTGTAGACACACTGTTGCTGAAAGAGGTGGTTTTGTTGGATTCTGCCTTTGGAGGGTGGAACTTTCACTGTGGGAAACCAGAAGAGTGTAGGGATGATGTTTAAAAGGCGTTGGTTACTACTATTGACATTTTGGACCAGATGGTTCTTTGTAATGGGGGCTGTCCTGGGCGTGGTAGGATGTTCAGCATCCAAGACCCCCACCCATAGATGCCAGTGATACCCTCATTCCAGCTGTGAAAACCAAAAATGTCCCCAGACATTGCCAAGGGTCCCTCAGGGGCAAAATCACCCCCCCCCCCATTGAGAAGCACCGTGAGTTTTCAGATTCATTGGCATAAAGTTGGTCACAGTTTCCCCTTATTATGCTTTAAGTTTCTGTAGACTCTGAAATGATGTCGTCTGTCTCATTCTGGATGTTGATTTCAGTCTTCTCTCCTTTTTTCATCAGTCAGTTTATCAATTTTATGGATCTTCTCAATGAGCCAGGTTTGGTTTATTGATTTTAGTTGTTGTTTTTTTATTCTCTTTTTCACTGAGGGCTGGTCTTCATTATTCCTTTCTTCTGCATGCTTTGGTTTTAATTTGCTCTTCTTCAGTTTTCTTAAAGGTCAAAGTGCAGACTTCTCTTCTCCCGTCGGCATTTCATCTGTAAATTTCCCTGGGAAGTTTACCTTGTTCGGTGCTGGAGGTTTTGTGTTTCTATAAATATTCTTGAAGGTGGTTAAGTTTCATGGAAACAATATCGTCCTTCGGGTTTTGCCAGGTCGAATTTGTCAGAAGCCCTTCCTTGCCCTCCCTCTGTGGGATGCACCCCGCCTGCTGCCTGGACGCGGCGTCCCCCAGCTGCCCACCCGTGCTGACAGCGGCTCTGTCTATGCTTCTGGGCTTGGGTTTCACTCCTCACTCTGATTCCATCTATTTTCTTCTAGAATTTCCTTAGTAAAATTTTGGTTTTTTTCTTTTTTTATTGAGGTTTAATTGACTCACATTATATTAGTTTTGATTGTAGAGCATATTGATTCTGTGTATGTGTTGATCTTGCTTTATAGGTGGCCTGTTCTTGTTTTGCAGCTGTGTTTGGGGTTTATTCTTACTTTTTCACCACTGTCATCTGTGTGGGTTTGGGCAGGGAGGGAGGTTAGTGGAGTCCTCCTGTGCTCACCTGGGTCCCGTCTTTGTCGTGGCCTCACTGTCCTTCTCCTGGAGGGTGTGTGTCAGATCCATGGAGGGCAGCTTCAGATTCCACGGCGAGGTCTTCTGTCCCCCTTTATGTCAGACATTCTCAAATGGGCGGTTGTGCCCCCTGGGACATTGGCAATCTCCAGAGAGGTTTTTGGTTTTCGTAGATGTGGAGAAGGCACCACTGGTCTCTCGTGGGTCGAGGCCCCAATGCTGCCAAATGTCCTACAGTGCACAGGACAGCCCCACAAACATCCTACAGTGCACAGGACAGCCCCACAAACGTCCTACAGTGCACAGGACAGCCCCACAAACGTCCTACAGTGCACAGGACAGCCCCACAAACGTCCTACAGTGCACAGGACAGCCCCACAAACGTCCTACAGTGCACAGGACAGCCCCACAAACATCCTACAGTGCACAGGACAGCCCCACAAACGTCCTACAGTGCACAGGACAGCCCCACAAGAATGATTTGGTCCAAATGTCAAAAGAGGCAGGGTTGAGAAACTTTGCTTTAATTTTATGATCTAACCTTGAATACTCAGGTATCTTCAAAAGCCTGAATAAGAAAGATAAGTAGAAAATCTTGATATAGAACCGTTTCTCTTCAGTGTTAGAGTTTTGCATGGGGTCTCTTGGGACACTGAATGGTCACCAGCTTGCATGCAAATTCATTTAGATAGATTATATTTAAAGTGCACATTTGGAACTTTTCAGGATAACAATAAATTGTCTTTGAAACAATCTGTTGGAATTATTCAAATGGTCATCATTTCATTGC